AATGCATTGAGATATTGAGAAAAAGTACGAACGTGTATTGTCCATCATCAAATTAATAAAATTAGATAAATGGTTAGGTTACATGTAAGACGAAGATGATTCTGGAATATTAAACTTCTTTTTCAAGTAAAGAATCGTTTACGACAGATAAAATAAAGAAAAATTATGGTTTTAACGTCAACAAATCACTATTTATGACATTTACAATCCGACGTTTAAACGACAAGAACATAATATTACTTTATGACGTAGAAAATCGTTTTTTGTGATAAACGCGTAATTTGGTCAATATATCGTCGTTTAAACGATGTGACATTAAACATCGTTTTAACGGCAGAATAGGGTTTCCTCAACTAACTGGGTATGGACCAAGTAACTACTATGAAATGTGTGCTGAAATGCATAAGGTACAGAGCTTCGCAGAAATTCACTAGCAATAAGTACATCACGTTTCATTATTTTTAATCTGACGAAGGGTTGCGCTAACTGTTTTTCCGAAGAGTTAATTCTTTTATTTATCGCGATACATACAATTTAGAACTCCCGAGCTTTTCCTTAGAAAAATCGTTGTTGAATACGTCACAAAATCTGAAGCAATAGAAGCATGGATTTGAATGTCCATCGAAATGGATGTTTGAGCCGCATTTGTGCTCATTCACAACCTCAGGTTTAGTGAAGCTATTAGAGACCGGTTCTGTGGATCATATCTGCTTTCTCACGTTTTTGCCATTATTCAAAACACATGTGTAAACGTTCATAAATAACAAACATCTTTGTCTATTGTAGAAATTCTTCACAAATTCAAAATTTTCAACATATATTCGGTCTTCAAAATTTCAAGTGAAGCGATACGAATTAATTTAATATTCAAGAAAAAGTCGTCTGCTATCCAATGGATACTCAGGAACAAGAAGAATGGCACGAAGTCGCAACAGAAGTTACAAAAAGCGATAATGGATCCATGATTGTCGACCCTGTTACCTCCTCTGCCCCACTCTCTAATGCATCACTCTCAGACTCAAGTCTTAGAACATCAGTCAATAAAGACGAAAACAGTTCACTCAGCTGTTCCAGTGACCCTATACACGAGGAAACCAATTCAGTAACGCTTTCGCCAACGTTGGAAGAACACCAGTCCATATCTCACAAACCCATTGAAGAGCTTAAGAGTCAATTGAACGATGGTTTACAGAAATGTGAACTCGATAGTGTCGACGAACTTTTGCAAGAGATAGCCAAGACGACAGATGAGATCGAAGATTTGAAGAGGAAAGGAAAACAGAAGCGGGTTGCCGAAAAGGAAGCTACTTTAGTTCCACTCAAGGAACTGCAATCGTTAGTGGAAAAGATAAAAGATCTTGAAGCGTCTGGTCCTCAACGTCTAGCTATCGAAAAGCTAAAACGTCAAGTGAACGATGGTTTAAAGGAACGTGAACTCGATGATGTCGAAGAACTTTTGCAAGTGATAGCCAAGACGAAAGATGAGATCGAAGAGCTGAAGAGGAAAGGAAGAGAAAAGACCGCTGCTCAAAAGATAGCTGCTCTGGATGAACTCCAGAAACTTGAATTAATAGTGAATGAATTGAAACAATTGAAAGAAACTGCTATCGAAACACATGGTATGACGATACAGAATAAGAACCAATAAATCGATGCGAAGCTAGCATGCCGTGAAGCTTCCACGAAGAATTTAGATGATCTGTGAATCTTCAAACTTGCAAACCGGAGACATAGAACCTGCCGGAGAATGTTGGATATACCCTTCTGAGCATCTTCACATAGGTCCCATGTGTATAGATTCTGTGGCTGAGGCTTTGCCGATCACCTAAATTCGTCGTGGTAGCTTCACATCGACAACCAATAATATGACTCAAAGGAGGGGAAAGGCTTGTTGGCTAAAACTGTCCCTGAGCGGAAGTAGGTGTATCGCATTCAGGCAGTCGGTTGTATCTTTGATAAATGTGCAAAGAGACCAGTATATTCTGAACGTTTGAATCTCGTTGTAATTGGTTGAATACATGTCATGAGTCTACGATCAGATTATTATCTTTTGAAAAGCCGATGTGCACACTGTGACTTCTCTCTATAATTTTGGATTAAGACTTTTACTACTGATTATAAGATCACGTCCAGCGATGAGTTGTAGTTCCTAAACACATTTTCTAGATATTATGTTTAGTGTGGCTTTGCTTTGTTTTACTTACCAGGAATGATTCTAATCGAGAAGATTATTATACCAGTTATTTGGTATTCTCGCTTGCTGAATAGCTCGAACAACAATCACATACGGTCGAAGTTTACAATAATCGTGGTCAGTTAAAATCTTCGCTTACGCTGAAATTATCATGAGATTTCGATGTTTTTACACTGAAATCAAAATTTGAGCAGGTGCTGAGTGATCTTTCACTATCTGAAACATCTGTGAACAATATTCTTAAACAACAGAAGAGCTGAGATCAAACTGTAGTTATGTGAACTCATTGGAAAATAGTCTCTTGAATTTCAGACAACTATTGACGTCCTAGAAAGTTTTCTTTTTCAATACGCTAGTATTCTCTTGACTGAATATAAGTTTTGGTATTCATTATCTTCAATATGAAGATGACGAAAGATGAAAAAAAATGGAAGTTCTTAGATTCCAGTTTACCTAGTTTAGTCCTGAGCTGCACCTATGATCCACTGACAAACGTTTTATTTGTGTGAATATACCTGTGAACTAGTACTTTACTGTAGAGGTTGACATTCCATTTACCTAAATATACTATTAGTTGTTACTGTCAACAAAACCCTCTCATGTATTGGACAGCTTAAGACAGTGTGAAGCACAGTGAAATGCATAGACCCTGACCAATGATAAACCCAATGATGCTGTATTCCAATTACTAAAGAAAGTCGGTAAATAGAAGTACTAAAATTGCTGAAGAGTTTGAAGGTAGACCCTCCAGAAACCGCAGGAGTGAAGCAAATTCTGCTGAAATACAAGAACTCTCTTCTTTTCCTCTATCATATGGACACCCATGGCCGAGCCCAAACTCAGTTGATGTCGATATCATGAAATACTGAAGCATTTCCAAAGCTCTTCTGTTTCTGACATGAGCAAGATATGAGTATGGATTGGGTGTGCAGGTATGAGTAATGTTTTCACACAAACCCCCACACACTCGTATCCTCTGATAAACTGATGTATGAGCATCATTCTGTTTATTACCAAGAGGCTGATTTCATCTGTTAGAAAAGTTTCACTGTTTTCACAGGTAGATCAGCAAAGCCACTATACCAGTCGATATGGTCTGAAATTTTCAGACCTGTGCTGATACTGGTCCGAAAAAAGAAAATTATTTCCATCTACGCCACAGCCCAGACGCAAACTTACCCGCGCCATACGACCCTGTCTTGTGCAATATGATAACTAATAATAATTTTCGTTTGTCTCTCTTATTTAGAATCAACAACATTGACGAATCAGTCTGAAAGGAATTCACAGGCACCAAGAGTTCAAATGCACAATCAATCAGCGAGAGAAAGAACACTGCCAGAAACTGAAGCTATGCGAACAACAACAAGGCCGTTGGATTCTAAGACGATATCAGATAAGGTTACTTGTGAAAATATTAAAGACCTATTTTTGCAAGAGCATATAGAGAAGGGGCTTCAAAAGATTCCAATAGAATGACCTTCGCTGAGAAACAAAAGCAATTGCGTTTGAAGGATTGACATTGCAATTGTAATGATGTGTCCTCTTGTGCCAAAAAAAGGCACCATTGAATCTTCATGCATATTTTGAGGAGATATTGCTTGAAGATTCTCCGCCTTATAACATATACGACACCGTGGTTTTCTGGTTACATTTGTTGAGGCAACAGCTTGAAAAGCAAGAACTAGTCTTCGGAGAAATTAGAGCTATTCTTCAGAAACTAGAAAGAGTGATCAATACAGAGGATTATTCTTCTACGATGAATGCTCCTTATGATTTCTTAAGAAAAAGTGGAGCATTGGATGTATCGGAGATACAGAGACTCGGGAAGAAGACAGAAAAAGTAGTCAGACTGATTAAGAAAAAAGACATTATTCTTTTGGTTGATGAAACCAGTACAGCAAATTCTACCACAATTCAGTTCATTGCAGGTTACAAAATGAAGGAAACGCGAGTAGAAATAAACGGTGAAGAGTTTTTCGAACATATTGAAGCAGTCGGTACCCCTATGAATTCTGAATCACGTAGGATCATTAGTAGTCCTTTATGTTAATCTAAGACTCGATTTATTGCACCTATTATTGTGCCGTTAAGGGAAGTATTCAGTGCACATAAAACTAAAGATATAGTTCTATGGCTGGACTCTAAACAATACTCAACAGTACAACAAATCGCGTGGGGTTGAACAAGCTACAACTTATCTTTTGATGCCACATGTTGCACAAGTTATTACTATTTTCCCTATTTTGGTATTGGTGATCCAGAAACAAAGAAAATTCCAATTCCATTAATTAATCTCACTTACAAAAAAATCTCTAATGATTTAATCAACACTTCGTTAGAAATAGGAAAATGCAAAAGAAAATCAGTTGTGATAGCAGTAATTGCTTGTTTTTTTTCTTAATTGGAGTCAGGGTGTGGATGTGGATCATTGCTTCAGTGACACCCACGGCAATACCCACACTCACACTCTCTACACGTGGTTCTTACCAAAATCGTTGAAACATTCCATAGTATCACAATATATATGCATATGCAGATATTCAGATTTTGAAATACGATCAAATCTACAGTTTTAATTGAAATATTTAAGTATTTGAGTTTTTACACCCTTATCCAAAACGACACTCATTGGTAAGTAGTTAAATCTATAAATGTTCTATTCTCGATTTGATATATATTCAGACAAGTACCTATTCACTTCTTGTTAAAAAGCAATTTTTATTTGATGACGCAGAAACATATCGTACTTTTGCATGAACTATCTACATTGATGCTCTTTTTATAGGAGTCTCCAAATTCAACAATGAAGCCTGCTATATACGATCAAGTAGATTCAGACTTGATAACTGCTGCATTTTCAGCCATTATGGGTTTACATCTGCAAACGCATGTTTCAAACTTTGATGAAGTAGAGAAAGTTTCGTTGTTTGATCATCATAAAACAACATATTCATATGGTCCAGTTGGTGGCACACTTGATACTTCAACAGCGAACAAACGATATTTATTAATTATTAAGACGTTAAATAATATAACATTTGACTGCGATATAGAGTCAGATGCCAAGATTGAAGACATTAAAGCACGTATTCATGAATTAAAAGGAATAACAACTGATCAACAACGCCTTATATTTGCCGGAAAACAGTTAGAAGACGGCACAACTATGAAGGACTGTGGAATATCCCATGATTCTACACTTCATCTCATAATAAAGGTACCTGCTATCAAACCAGTTATTTTGGATGCTGCAACCTTAGATCCGGTACATAATTTTGACTTTACAAATATCAAAGATGATCACGAAACATTTATACGTGGTGGTGAAAGATATATTCGTCCGTGTGGATTCAGACGATATGCTCTCAAAGTTTCTGGTAAATATAATAATTTATCATGGATAGGTTGCGAACATGGTATAGGCGAATGGCCTGTATCATATCATGCGACAGGTAAATTTGAAAATAAAACAATGGCACAGAATGGCTATGCTTTAACACAAGGAAAACAATATTCATTTACTAGTGGCGTCTATTCAACTCCAGATATAAATTTAGCAGAAAAATACGCAAAAAACTTTACTTATAACAATGAACAATATATAGTTGTCTTTCAAAATCGTGTAAATCCTCAAAATTTACATAAACTTCAATCCGATCGCTCAGGAACTGGAGATTATTGGGTTAGTCCAACTGACACAGACGTACGTCCATATGGCATTTGCATTCGAAAAGTCGAAAATAAAGTTGGTCATTGACAAGGAAAGCTGAACTATGCTAGAGTATCTAGTGTTGGAACGGATGTGAGTGTGGATTAGTGATAGAATCTATTCGGTTTGAATTGTTTTCGATTCGATTCTGTTCCAAATATTTCGAAACCGATTTCCATTTAAATATGTGTGAAAATATATTTAACTTTGTTACAGTGCTCTAGCATATATTTTTATTTCTTATTCTTTTCTCCTCTTATTTCTCTCTCCCTCTTGTCTATTTTACTTTCCCATCCGACCGTGACAATTTCAATAAATTATCATGCCTTTCTTCTCTTCTAAATGTTGTAAGGACTTTCTAATAAAAGAACATGTGAGACGTCATTTTCTTTATATAGATTAGTATAGAATGGAGTAGAGGTCATTTATTGATCTCTTTCCTCATATTTCACTTGTATATATCTCTATTTCGTATGTATCAAAATATATTTATTTGTCAAAGAAAAAAATGAAAGGAAGAGAAATATAATAATTCGAATAGGTTTGGATTTCGGCTGAGTTGAACCGAAGGTTTTACAAAATTCAAATTTTTCTACAGAGAAAGGAATCTGTAACAACCATATACACTAAGAGTGGAGAAAGAAAGTGCAGCGAGTTTCTAATCTTTACTCAACTACTTATTAGTTTCATTTAGTGTGACCTTGTACAGATTGCGTTTTAGTATAAGGCACTCATATATAGCGCTGGCCAAAAGTAATGACTCCCTCCAATCTCAACTATTATACGAGCTGTCATGCAGAGAATTACAATTAATGTAATATTCGATAAATGTAGACCGGTAGTGAAACCCATAACCGAAAAGAATGGGCCTAAAGAGGACTATCAGCTAAACGGTCCATGATTATTGTAGACTCTAAAACTCGGTAATAACAAAGTATTTTGCACGCGTACTTGCATCGTTTTAAAACTCTGTATATTGGGTATCTCTGATAAAGATTTCATCAACATTCGTCAAGGGTGTGGGTGTGTCGGTGTAGGTGTGTATGTGAAAGGGTGTGGGTGTGTGGGTGTGGGTGTGGGTGTGGGTGTAGGTGTGGGTGTGAGTGTGGGTGGGTGTGGGTGTGGGTGTGGGTGGGTGGGGTGTGGGTGTGGGTGTCCAGTGTGGGTACTTAAATCATGAAAAAAGAATACCCAAACTCACACCCTCACCCACACCCACACCGACAACCACACCGACACCCACTCCACACCCATCCACACTCACACCGACACCCACACCCACACCCACACCCCACACTCACACCCACAACACCCACAATCGTACTATTCATTTATTGTACGGAATATTATTGCAAGAACCTGGAGCATTAACAAAACCACTATGTCTTTTATTAAAGAAATGGAATTTTATTATTGATAAAAAAGAAAATAAAAAAGATGTTCAAATGATAATAACGACATCAGTAATTGATCGTACACATAGAACTTCACCGGAAACTCTGATACATGTTGAAAATAGTCAACCTGTTTATTTATCTCACACTGAAGAAAAAGAAGATTTTACTGAAAAATCAATTGATTTACATTCGGTGGATGAACAAGATGACTTGTTCATATTTACATGTTTAAGTGATAACCAAAATCCAACAACAATATATATCGGTGGCAAGGAACTTATGACAACTTACTCTATAGAAACATCAAATTCGTCCACTTCATCATCACCAATTGATCGTCCACTTGTTATTCATACTTCATCCCCAGAAGAACAAGTAATAACATCACCTTTACCACTTTTGAACGACAACTTAGTAGATGCCGTAGACATCAAACATCATTAAAATCAACTAATCAATCATCAACCATCTCAAAGAAAAAAAATTCTGTAGCAAGAAAACGTTGAGCTAGTCCTGAAGAATCAATAGCATTGCGTTTAAAACGTTCACAAATAAAAAGAACAAATTAACCGAAAATATTTTTGTTCCGTTTGTTATTTATGTTAGCACCCGAACTATTCTTTGATCAATTATATTTCTATTATGTTTACGAAATTCAAGTAAAAGATGTTTCATCAACTATCTTCTCCTATATTTTAATTATATTGGTCCTTTTTGAGTTTCCTCATGCGTTCCCCTCTTCTTTTTTCTCGAAATAAAATTAACAAGAGTAAATTTCGTGAATTTTTCGAAAAAATTTATATGATTATCTCTAAAATAAACAAAACCACTTAAAAGCATTTCAGGACTTTTTGGAACATTCAAAATACACTTCATACATTAACTCTTTAAATCAATAGCAAATTCAATAGTATGTATTATTCTAAAAAATTCTAGTTTTATATTTATATTGATTAGAAGAATAAATTTATGCGTAAATAACTATTTAAATAAAAATTAAATATATTCTTTTGTATTTAGGATGATCGAAAGAACAGTTTTATAGGTAAGTAATTGTTTCGATACGAATTAATTATCATCTTTTACACTTAGGTTGATTCAAAGAATCATTTGATTGTTAATTTGTTATTTTAAAATAATTTCATTTTTTTTCTGTATTTAGGATGGTCGAACGAATAATTTTATTGATAAATTATTGTTTTAATATCAGTTAATTTTCTTCTTTTACATTAACGTTAATCAAAACAATAGGTTTATAGGTAAGTAGTTATATTAATATAAATTACTTCTATTCTTTTATATTTAAGTTGATCAGAAGAATAATTCAATGAGCAATAATTATTTAAATATGAACTAATTCTTGTCTGTTACATTTAGACTAATCTAAAAATGGATTTATTGAGAAGTAAAAAATTCTTCTATGTTACACTTCTGTTGATTAAAAGAATAGGTTTATAGGTAAGTAATTATTTTAATATGAACTCATTCTTGTTTGTTACATTTAGATTGATCAAAAGAATACATTTATAGGTAAGTTATTATTTCAAATAGATACATTCTATTCTTTTGTATTTAGGATTGTTCAAAGAATCATTTTATTAGTAAGTAAATTATTTCAATATAAATTAATTCTCTCCTTTCCAATTTAGGTTGATCAAAAGAATAGATTTGTAGGTAAAATTTTATTTTAATACAAATATCTTCTGTTCTTTTACATTTAGGATGATCCGACGAATAATTTTATTGGTAAGTAAATTATTTTAATATAAATTATAATCCTCTTCTTTTACATTTAGATTGATCAAAAGAATTGATTCATAAGTAAGTTATTATTTTAATATAAATATATTATCTTCTTTTGCATTTAGGATGATCCATAGAACAATTTGACCAGTAAGCAAAATACTTTGATATAAACTAATTCTGTTCTTTTTTTGTTTGTATAGTCTCAAGATCAACTCCATTACTGAGCTTGATTTAACAGATTTAAATTATGTTCTTGGATACAGAAAAGCAAAAGAGAAGGCACTTCTCTTTTTGTTGTATGAGATAATCATGGAAGTAAGTTAATAAATCATATTGTTTGCGTAAGGTAACAGTAATGTAATTTTCCTACTGAATTGATAAGTAGATTTCTTAAATCTTTCCGGCTTTTCTTGTAGATTATATCACGGGGAATTGACTATATCGTAAATGAAGTCAACATCGATTGTCAGTATAGTATTAAAACTGTCTTCCGAGTAGAAGACAGTATTGAATGAAACCCTTCTGGAAATGAAGGGCACTATTGTAAAGAGCATAGGTATGAAACTATTTTTCTACGTTGTAGAAAATAGATTTATACGAAACTCCACGCACGAAACTCTTTCTTTCAGCTGTGAAAAATAGATTTGTACGAAACCTCAGCTACGAAACCCTTCTTATTAGATTTACATTAATGGTTTTATACGGATCCCTATTCGTACGAAACTAAAAAATAGTTTAGAACTGGTTTCAAATCTCGAAACCCTTTTTTAGTTTCGTATGGTACCTTTTTTGTTTCAGTGTAGCTAACGCCCTCTGACATGCTAGTTAATATAAAAATGTTCTTTTCCATGATAATTCAAGTAGCAACATAGTTTTTCTAGAATTGAAAAAACTTGAAAAACTACGAAAATTTCTTCGAAAATACAGTAGTGAAGTCAAAGTTTGATCTAATAAGTCTTTGAAAATCTGGTCAATTTTCAAAAAGCTATACATATATACTGAAAGAAGAAGCTTCGATACATCTTCCTATGATAATAACTCAGTATCGATACTTTAATGTCTACAAAGGCAGAACAGAAGTAGTTCTTGTACTTCACGGTTGAAATCCTTGCTGGGACTACGAATCAGTTCTCCTTTCTTATGAGCAATGTGAAGCTTAGTGTGTCCTTCTTTCATAGCAAAAGAATGCTACCGTAGGAGAATGAGGCCAGTTTTCCATTGGTCTACATCACTAAGCTTGGATTTCGCAGTTTTACATTCAATACTGTCGAAAAAATTAAATCTAATAAGTAATCTAATTGACAAGCGCAACATCTGATATATGCTTAGCTAAAAATGCAACTTTTCTTGAGATGAAAATAATGTCTGATGATGATTTGATTGTCACATTGAATTAGATACCTGAAATCTTGTACGCTTGTCTTCATCCATACTATTTGTTTTGCTGAACTACTTCTACTCATTTATCGAGTTTTGTTTTTAAAACGATGTCAAATTCAAGCAATGACTCTATAGTTCTGAATTCGGATTCTTCATTGGGATTCAGAATTCCTCATTATATTCGATTTTTATATTTTCTCATTTTTGACATATTATCAATTGTAGCCACTTTGTTTACACTTTACTATATTCTTTCGGATCGAGCACTTCGTCGTGCGCTTCATAATCATATTGTCATCGCTATTCTCTTACTTGTTCTTCTATACGAATTGACAAATATTCCCTTCTTTCTTCGCAATGATTATCATTCAACTCCTTGGCTAGCATCTCCTGCCTTCTATCTGTTTTGGGTTTTCCTCGACTACTCATGCTATTCACTTCAAATAGCCTTGTTTACTTGGGCTACAGTTGAAAGGCATATACTTATATTCCATGAGCAATGGATAGCAACAAGAAAACGTCGTTTCTTGATTCACTATTTACCACCATATATTATTACAATTTATTATTTTGTTTATTACTGTATTGTCTATTATGGAAAGCCTTGTGGGACTTCATTCGATAGTTTCTTATCCGGAGGTATATATATTCCGTGTGCATTCGATCGAACTGTATTAGCCACATGGGATCTTATGTTTCATCAAGTTGTTCCAACTCTTCTCATTATGATCGGGTGTATGTCTCTAGTTATTCGTGTAGTATTGCAGAAAACTCGTGCTCGTCAACCACTCCACTGGCGAAAACATCGAAAGATGATTCTTCAACTGCTCATCATTTCATCTGTCTACATTCTATTCAATCTGCCTTGGGTTAGTGTTATTTTTGCTTATCAATGTGGTTTGCCAGCAGAACTCGCTATTGTGGGCATTATTTTCAGCAAATTTATCATATATAACATAATCTTTTTCTGTCCATTTGTATGTTGCTCATCACTGCCGGAGCTGCGTAGTAAGTTCAAAAATCAGCTTACTTCCTGGCGACAACAACGACGGGTTGGTCAAACAACAATGATCACGACTCAGTAAAATCTTAGAACAACAGTCGCATGTATTCATCAATCTGCTGTGAGATGAGAACAGACTTTTCTTCATTATTGACTAAAATTCATTCTTGACATGAATATATTTCGTTTTTTATGTCACGTCTCAACCAAAGAAATGCTTTATTATCTACTTGCTTGTGTTGTCATGTGTTTGTATTGTTCTTGTCTTTCCTAATTGTATTTTCTTCTCTTATACAGTGAACGTTGTGCAACGCTTAAATATACTTGTACAAATTTTTGCTTTTGTTGTCTTAGTTTTATTATTGTTTGTGGATAAATTAATTTATCCATTAAAGACCAAAAAGCAAAAAACAGATTCTATTCGATCTCTATGAATCATCATAGAAATCTATTTTTCGTGACATGCAAAGCGGCGAGGGTGTGGATAGGTGTCAATTTACAATTAAGAGCAGTTTTTCAGCGGTATTCACATCTTGAGACTCGACTTCTATTAGTATTTTCTAAATAGATTAGTCTGATTGAAATAAGTATTTCGTCCTAGTTTGCACTTAATAATTAAGAACACATAACCTTAATGGTCATTGGAATATCGACAATAATATAAAGCAGGAATACTAAAGATGACCATAGGATAACTTTTTTTCTTCTGCCCTATTCTGCTGAGTGGTGGGATACGATAAAAATTCGCTAACCATCTTGTTCAGTGTGACAGGATAGAGTAGGGCAGACCAAAAGACTAGACAGGAAACGCATCACATTTTCTTTAAGTTTCGATAAAGTGAAGCATATATTTGACCGCTCAGTCATCTTATAACAAATTTATTTCATAATTTTCTCAAGCATCAGAATCCTATACTTGAATAAAGATAACTCAAGAAATAAAAAAAATCACTCTAAGTTACTATTTGTATAGAATACACATATAGAAAAAAAATGCGTATTCAACAATACCCGAAAAGAAAATGTTTCATCATCATTAGTATATAGTAGGTTGTATTGATAGTGATGATGTTTCCAACTCATGAATTTTCATAGAAAATAGTGAAACAGACAAGATTTTAGGACAACTATTTCGATGTTCATTTAAAAGTGTTGTTCTACATTTGCAGAATATAGAAAATTTTTATTACATTTCAAGTAACTTACACATCCAAAGATCGTTTTGTAGTCACTATTTTCATCGAGTTTAGCTAAAAATTCAAAAATGTCCCACTATGATGATAATACTCTTCATGATTATGTATTTTCCATTTTC